AGAGTTGTAGCACGTGGCGTGTAACCCTGACCACTCTCCTCTGTCTTTTCGATCTGTTGACTTTTTGTCAACATGCAGAATAAATGAGGTAAAATATGAAATCTACGAACTTAAATAGTTTATTTAAACGATCGTTATACTTGATTCAGTTAACCTAGCATTGAGAATAAAGCGTTTATACGATGCCAGAAAGTTATTATCAATAAACTTCAAACACGGGTGCTTTAATCAGGAATTTGTGGATAGAAATCAGATATTTAAATTTTCTTTATAAAAACGGCTATGCGTAGTTAATTCTCTGAGGTCGATTCTGAACATCATATCTGATTTTGTTTTATTCACATTATTTATAAAGAACTTTATACTTACTAGCTAAATTAATGCAATCAAGTTATGCGAATCAAATAACAAACTTGAATCGTTTATTTAGGCAATTGATTAAGTTACCCGCTAAGTTAACACGCTTAGTTCAAAGTTATTATAATTTATTATTTAAACAATTTGTTTTGGTCTTTAAAAATATAACGCTCTCTATTTTGCGAGTTCTAATGAAGGTCAAAATAAAAATCAAAACGAAAGTTCTCGAAGTCATACATAAGAGTAAAAAAAATTCTGCTGTCATTTTTTCCGAGCAATAATATGTAAATGTACAATACGTATATAACATGTGATATTAGCAGATATCTGATATTGTACAATACCTGGTACGTACGTACGTGCATATGCTTGTGATTTGGTACGTACCCGTAGACCGACCACTCACAACGTATTTATATGTTAAAAAGAATTTATTTTTCTAAATATGCTATTCAATTTTGTAAATATATTTATTTATAAATTCATTTATATTGTGAGTATAAAAAACAATTGTTAAGTGTTTAAGATAAGAGCAATTCAAATTCATGAATATTTACTATTTAATTTTATTTAATTTTCGATAATGCAATATGCAAGTATAGAAAAGCATAAGCATTTAAGATATAAAAGCTGCTTGCATTTAATTTGTGTTACATAAATAAAACTAATTCTAATTAGGAAATTGTGCGCATTGTAATAAAAGGATTGTGATCCTGATACAACAATTCAATGATAAACGGAAATAGAGATTAAACGATTATAAGTGTATTGATAAAAAAAATTGTCTACGATAAATATGGGTAGGTTTTTCAACACATGGTTCCAAATAGTTTAAATAAGTTTTAATTGGTTAAATACGTAACCGTGCATTTTCATTATTCTAATTTTAATTATTCATATGACGCTAAAGATTTTTAATTTGTCCGGAGCAAAGCAGAAAATTTTATATTTCTGCGCAAAATCGAAAAAAATGGTTTTCAGTTTCCGGTAGCATCCTATGATATAAAACCAATCGTATCAATTTATTACTACAATATTAACGTTAAATATATATTCGTATTTGGCTCCGGCATGCAATGCTATGCATTTATCTAGTGCATTAGATTAGTAACAAATAAAAATTAGAGTTAATTATGACTAAGATTTTGATTTTTAAAAATTAATTATAGTTTTAAAAAGTAAAGACATAAAAATTAAATTTGAAATAAAGCATGTATACTGGAATAGTGATTATTTTTCATTGCGGACTGTGCGCAGCAATCAGAAATAAAATTTTGCGCACATTTTATATATATATATTTTTGAATAGATATGCGAATGGCGCAAAGAAAAATAACCATTTTTTAAAGTAGTACGCACAGTTGCAACCAAGAATTTTTTTTTTTTTTCTTTTATTTGCCGCACAGAAAAAAAACACCCATTTTATAAAGTAGTACTCACAGTTGCAAACAGTTTCTCGTAGATTTTTTTTTTTTATTTGATGCACAGAAAAGTTTATAAATTACGTAGGTATGCGGTATCTGCAAATAAATATATAATTAATAATTAATAGTTAAATTATAATTAATTTTATATTCAAAAAGTAGCTTATTTTTTTTTTAAAAAAAATATTATAATAGAATATTTGATTGTAGATAACGTATTTGTATATAATTTAGCTGCAAAGTGAAGGCTTGACATGACACTAAGTTAGCTACAATTCTTCATAGATAGCTGGCATACAGACAGTCTAGTTTAGAAATTTAAATATTATCTTTATTGATAGGCTTAATATTTTATGATCATAAAATTTATAGTTGACTAAGCCGGCTAAGCTGTATGTATGTACCTGAACTAACCTGGGTAATTTAATACTAGATAAAATGGGCAGAGTCTCTAAGCTATAAAAAAATTAATAGTTCGTCTAAGCCCATAAATTTTTGATCAAATATCATGATTATGTATGTATGTCAGGTTGTGTTCAATTCACTTAATAGCAATAAAAATTCTGATAAAAATATTAATAAAACATAATATTTGATAATGAAAACTTGGTAATTCACATGTAACAATTAGATATTAACCTGTTAATGCATATGTATGATGGGAAACCAGACTTCTATCATATAAATGTTATATGATCAAGGTCTGACTTTTCCTTGGCATAATCATATGATATACACATTTGCACACCCAAACACTTTTGCGTTATATTAAGTAAACGGTTAATGTCCATACTTCATAAACATTACCCCCGATACGTATACTGTAGATAAACTATATTTATAACATTGAGCAACATATCAAAAAAAAAAACAATATTTGTATTGCGAAACACATTATCTAGACCTTATTAGAGTCATAGTTTATGATACATAAATTCGTGAAACCATTTGATCGTAACTAATTTTTTGAATGAGGAAAATTCTTTAAACATATTATTATACTTTGCACGTTTTAATATCAACATTGAACTTTTTTAGCAAAGGGTTTAATTTGATGATCCTTTAAGTAAAAATAAAATTTCATTGAAAAAAAGGAATTGAGCACGTATGTACAGTACATACAGATGTAAACAACCTTTATTCATGCAAGTTTTTAATTACCAGTATGTAATCGCAAATTTTTCATAGGCTGCATTTGTCAATTTACTATAAAAAGTTATCTTACAAGATTTGAATGAAAAACTACATATGTAAGAGGCGTCAATGTTAATAGAAGTTTCCATTAATACTCCTGAATGCATGCCAAATATTAAATTCATTTCTCCATCTCTAATATATAAAAAAATAAAAATGGAATTAATTCAGACAAATCTATTCTATTAAGTTGCATTGTTTAATACGGGGTCATAGTACAATATATTAAAGAGAGAAAAAAATTTCGGTTATCAATGATAATTTTGCCGTGTGTGGGTAGTAGTACGTAGAGGTAGTTTAATAAAATGGTAATTTAAATGCGGCAATGCAGTTTCACCGCTGATCCGACATATGTGTCACGATGTGTGTGCAAAACGTAAATTTTTTCTAAATATAAACAAAAATTTTTTACAATGTTTCATACCGATATATATTCTTTTTGCCTTTAATTAAAAGATCAGCATGGAAAAAATTTAATTTCTTGTTTTCTTTTTCTAGGATTTCTCCAAAAAAAATTGTATAAAAATAGTTCGTTTCACAAATTATGACAATATAAAAATATACATTCGATCTTATTATGGTATTTTTAGTTTGTTTAATAACAATATCGTTATACATAAATATTACAACAAATATATACATGTTTGATCAAATTCTTTGAAATAACAAAGGATGTCAAAGTACAATTTATTAATTTATTTGATCGGAAACAAGTTACATTTACACATTTACACTTTACAATAAGCTTATGATCTTGTATCACTCCCTCCTAATTCACGGCGCTGTTTCAACGTTGTTGAGTACAAGTGAACCTTGATAGGTAATAACTAGCCGTTTAAGCGAAATTATGTATATATTTAATGTTTTAACAGATTAAGTTTATCTTCTTATAAATACCCCTGATTTTTTTTTTTTTGGTTGCACCCAAATTGTCGAACGTGTTAGCACGTACGTGTTAAACAATATACATTATAAATATCTGTTCTAATTCTGAAGCTTGAGTTTTCTTCACTCGCAAAGCGTGTCAACATACGAGTGTCTATTTTCAAGATCGATAAATTTTATCATGACAACCATGAAGAATGTTAATTTTGTAATATTTCTGTTCGTAACTTTTTGCATATTATTGCCAACTTCAATTATAGCCGTGCTTCCTGGAACTTGGCCAGCATTAAATGTTCCTCCACCAGCAAATGCAAATTATACAAAACTTGTAGATGCAACTAAACTTAGGAACGCTCCAGTTAATAAAGTAAATTCTACTGCTTGCGCGGCTACTGACACCTACTGTTATTGGACTTGCACCCTTTGTACTCGAAACGATACTGACGTTGTTCGTTGTCCTAACAAGTTAGGTATGATCAAAACAAAAGAAAGAGAAAAAAAAAAAAGGTTGCTAAATTCTAATAATGCTTTTTTTTTTAAAAAAAAAAATTAGATTGGGGTCTTACTTTAGATGATGGTCCAACGTAAGTTTGATAAAAAATACCATTATTTCGATAATAATGAAATATTAACACTTATTTATGTTTTTTTTCTAGTTCGTTTACGACTTCAGTCTTGGACTATTTAGACACTCAAAATATCAAAGTCACTTTTTTTGTGATTGGATCTAATGTTTACCAAAACCCTGAAATCTTACAAAGAGCCTTTAAAGCTGGTAAGTTATATTACCGTTATTTATTATAATTATAATTATGTCTTTTATATATTAATCATTTAAAATAAATAGGTCATCAAATCGGTGTACATACTTGGTCACATACTGCTCTAACTACCCAAACCACCGAAACAGTCATTGCCGAGCTTATGTATACTGCTGATGCTATAAAAGCCGCTCTTAATGTTACTCCTAAATATATGCGTCCTCCATTTGGAGATTACGATGATCGAATTCGTGATATTTCGACTCAACTTGGTATGAAACCGACTATTTGGGATTTAGACACTAACGATTGGTTGTCGGCCGATGATCCAACTTTTCAAATTTCCTGGGTCACTGCTAATTTTACTCAATGGGTATCCGACCCAACTCTTGCCACTACTGGACATATATCTCTC